TCAACAGCAGGCTCTTCATCATTACAATGAGATAATTGAGACAACTAACTTACAAGAGAAGAATTTGCTCAGTTCATAGTTCTGGGAGTTCCAGTCCAAGATCAAGCAGATATACTGCTGTAAGAAGGACAGGTAGAAATGGCAGTGTGTGAATGATAGACAAATAGTTCACCTGAAGTCCAGAAAGCAAAGGGAAAGACAGAAGTGCTAACATCCCACAATCTCATGGAAACCTAAAATTTTCCCAGGAAACTAAACCTACTAAAAAGTTCTATTAATTCCCCAAAATGCTACCCCACAGAGTAAGTAAGCCTTTAACACACAGATCTTTGAGGAACATTCAAAATCCAAACAATATTGAACAGTTTCTGATAAATCTAAATGTCCTATCATCCTGCACTTCTACTCCTGGGCTTAGAAGACAGATATAATAAACTAAAGGCTTACACAAAGATAGAGAAGTGGCTTAGAGGTTAAGAGCACTGGCTACTCTTCCAGAGGCCCTGAGCTCAATTCTCAGCAACTACATGGTGGCTCAGGACCATCTATAATGGGATTTAATACCCTCTTTGGCCATGCAGGCATAAATGCAGACAGGGAGAGCACTCATTTATAACTATAAATAAAATAAAAAAAAAAGAAACACACACACACACACAGCTTTATTTGTAATGTTCTCAAGCAGTAAAGAACTCAAGTGCCCATCAACATGAGAACAGTGTTTTTTGTTTGTTTGTTTGTTTTGTTTTGTTTTGTTTTGAGACAGGGTTTCTCTGTATAGCCCTGGCTGTCCTGGAACTCACTCTGTAGACCAGGCCAGCCTCGAACTCAGAAATCCGCTTGCCTCTGCCTCCCAAGTGCTGGGATTAAAGGCATGTGCTACCACTGCCCAGCTGATAACAGGAATCTTTAGCAAGCAGCATTTTATTGTTTTGATTAGAGTGTTAACACTTGTCAAACTTTATTGAATTGTACTCTAGATAAATAACATCTCACTTTAAAAAAAAATGTAGACAAGGCCTTCCATATTTCCAATAGTGAAACATAACAGTAAGCAAATTTTTTCTGTAAAGGGCCAGGAGGTGAATACATTATGTTCTGCAGACTGTGATCACTATTCAGCTCTGTTAATATGTGAAAGTAACCACAGACAATATAGAAACAAATAAGCATGGCTATGTCCCAATAAAACCACTTACAGAAACAGGTAGCAAGCCAGATGTGTCCATGGGCTGCTGCTTGTTAACTCCCAATGTCTAGCATGGGGAAAACTGACCTTTAAAAATAATTTCGATATGCTGTATTGTTCTTTTCTACATAGTAGTCATGACAATTATTAGAAGCCAATTATAGTCCTTTCTAAGCATGTGTTTTCCTATACTCAACTACCCACTCAAAATAGAAAAGACTATGACAGTATGGAAGAGCAAAATAAACAGGAATATAGGAAATGTGGCTTTGAGATTTTGAGTAGTAGCAAGCTAATACTACTAAATGCATATGCTGGAAGTTTAAAATACACTTTGGCATGCAGAAAAGGTCATTACCTGCAATGCTGTCACTGATTTACATGGTATATTAAACCCCTAAAATGAATGCCACAGCACTCTTCATCACCAGATTGTGTCTTGTGTCTTCACTTAAAAGAACTCACTGGTCACTGTTTCTCAATGAGTCAATGATAGATTGTGTGTGTGTGTGTGTGTGTGTGTGTGTGTGCATCTTATATAGACATATACAGATAGCCTGTCATGGTAGTGCATACCTGTGACCCCAGACATTCGGAGACTAAAGCAGGTTTAAGTTCAGCTTGGTTAACCTAACAAGACCATCTCGACAATCCAAAAACGAAAAATATTTCACAATGAGTTCCAAAAGCTAATCTTTTAATTTGGACAATGTTAAAAAAGTAATACCCTAGGCTGAAGAGATGACTCAGTGGTTAAGAGCACTGGCTACTCTTCCAGAAGTCCTGAGTTCAATTTCCAGCAACCACATGTGTTAGCTCCAACCATCTATAATGTGATCTGATGCCCTCTTCTGGCACGCAGAGGTACATACAGATAGAGCACTCATATACATTAAATAAACACATAAATAAATAAATCTTTTTTTTTTTAATTAGTACCCCAAGCTAAGCAATGGTGGTGCATGACTTGAATCCCAGCACTTGGGAGACAGAGGCAGGCAGATGTCTAAGTCCAATGACAGCCTGATCTACAGAGTAAGTTGTAGGACAGCCAAGGCTACATAGAGAAACCACATCTCATCAGCCCCCAAAAGACATAATAATAATAATACCCCACAAAGAACATTCAAGGTATATATCATGATATGAATCCTAAAACACCTGAAAATGTATATGTTTTCAATACAATTCCAATCTAAATAAAGAATTCTTTCTTGCTAGGTATATACCTATTAGAATCCCAGCAGTATCAGAAAGCTTGGGCTCCAGTATGTGTGCCACATCACTGTGTCACAATTTGGCATTCATTCATTCATCAAACATTTTTTGAGTTTATAATAATCAGACACTGGAAACAATAGAAAAGAAAGCCTTACAAATATCTTTTGTGACACAGTATAAATCACTTTAAAAGCAACTCAGTTTCCCTTTGTTAAAATAATTACTTTTATATTTAAAAGTACTTAAAATTATCTTTTGCAAAATCTAAATAACTTTTTAGGGCTGGAGAGAGCAATTCCTGCCCTTGCAGATATCTCAGGTTCCGATCCCAGCTCACAACCATACTTAACTACAGTTCCAGACAGCCCTCTTATGACCTTCATAAACACCAGACACACATGTAACATATACATAGGAAAAACACTCACACACATAAAATAAATGTTAACTAATTTTAAACAAATATCTTTTTAATCCAGGAAAGTAAAATTAGGAAACACAGCCTAAATTCCATTCTTGCTACTAATTAAAGACATTAATTGTGTGGTTGTATTCAGACAGCAAACAAAGAAAACAAGTATTGATTTATTTTTCACATATTCTGGATGAAATGCAAGTCTTACTGATTCATTATTTGGTAATAACTAACCTTCCTTGGTGAGATCAAAGAAAGAACAATCTTGCCCGAAAGTACATATAATGAATATTTTTATAGCACAATTCTAGTATTTCAATATATAGATACTGAATAGATGTATAATATATATATTACAGCATAAGCACATTAATACAGGCTGCCTACTGAATCAATCAGTTGGCTTATCATCTCTTCAGAGCTGTTGCTTTCAAAGTTCTTACTTCAAAAGATACAAACAGAAAACCAAATCTTGTATTCACATCTGGTTCCTAAGCATAACATTTAAATTTTCTTTCATTTATTATGGATGAGTTTTCACCATAATAAAGTAGGCATAATTCTTTAACCTTAAAATGGTAACTTTTTTAAGTGTCTGCTGTATTTACATGCCAGATAAAAAAGCTAGAATCACAAAATACATCTTTAAAGATCAAAACATTCATTTAAATATCCCTTCTTCCACAGGCACCTTCAGACACACAATTGAGGCTTTAATTTCTAATCTCTGCATATTATTCTTAAGTAAGAAACTGATGACAAATGGGAGGAGGTAGTTCCAGAAAAGGCTGCCTCCATTAATTTCCTACTCATAAACATATTCAGAGCTTGCCAAAGCAGGTCAACTCTACCTACCCCAAAAGATAGTGAAATAGTTCAATTATGCTAATCTTAGACATCCCATTCTTTAACTTCTTGTTATGCTTATTTCTTAAGAAATCATAGAATACACGCTCTACCATCAGATCCTGTAAGTGTAAAGAAACAAAAACAGAACTGACTAGCAAAATGTAGAGCTAGGGAGCAGTGGTGGATGTGTGCTAACTCCGACAGACTAGATAAGTGACCACACTATATAAGGAAACCTAGCTTATTTAAAATAGATGCAAAGGTAAAGATTTTGTTCTACTTTCTCCAGTAATCTGCACTGTCTGGCCTATTGAATTAGATTCCCAAATCAGTATCAAATATCAAAGAAAACTTTATGACAGTTATCTTTTATTATTCTATTTGTCTTTAAATTTCATGTATGAATACATGCTTGGGTATGTATGTGAACTTAGGTCAGAAAAATGCATCTGACCCCCCTGCAACTAAAGGTACAGGTAGTTGTGAGTCATCATATACATCCTGGGAAGAGAAGCCAGGTCATCTGCAAAAGCAGTAAGTACACTGCTGAGCCATCTCTCCAGTCCCAAGACAAATTATATTTTTAAAACCCTCATATTGAGGAGTAGTGTTTTCTTGATTTGTATTTTTTAATTCAATAATGAGAAGACTCTGGTGTAACTAAAGATTTGAACCTTGGAAAAATCATTACTACAACATATTGAGACATATTGAGTTCTCTAGATATTCACGTTTTAGATAGAGATCTCGTTGCTAGCAACCAGGTGTAACAACAACAACAACAACAACAACAAAAAGGGTAAGGATTTGAAAATAGAACAGGAAGACAAGCATGTGAACAACCTGGATAAACTTTCTCAACCTGCTTTTTTCATCTCTAAAATAAGAACAGCAATTACCCATCTTGAAGGAATGTTATAATGATTAGTGATCATACATGTAAAGCACATGTCACATAGTTGGCAGTTAAAAAAATCAGCTATTGTTATTTTATTACTCATAAATGCACCCACAAAAGAGTTTTAAAAAATCAGAGCCTATGATTGCTTTAACAACAAAAATAAAGCCAACCCCCCCAAAAAAAATCCTGTTAAGTAATACTTTGGGTGGTTTTAATTTTCCATATATAATACTATAGTTCCTCCTAAAAGGTACATAAAATCCAAAATTAGCCACAGGCCTACTTATTTTGGAGTTAAAAGTAAAAGATTATTATCACACAAAACAAAAGACAATTTTGTGAACAGGTGAAATCATTTCACCACTGGGGGAGAAATGTCAAAATTAAAATATAAAAACTATGAAAGGATAGTAAAAGATTCCTACCTTTAAACCGACTGCTATAAGATCTGTAACAACACTGTATGGAAAAAGTAAAAAGAGAAAATGGAAAACAAAGTTAGAGAACAAGTTTTAAAAGACAGACAAGATTAAAGAAAAAGAAAGAGCATTATAATAATAAATAATGAAAAAATGAACTGTGAAATGTTAACAAAGAAAAAACAACAGACAGCAGCAACAGCAGAGTTCAAAAGCAAAGCCTCAACATCAATGCAAGAAACAAATTATTCTCTAGTGTGTAGGAAAGAACAGTTGTGCTTCATACAATAAGCATGTGTTTATCTCACTTGGACAAATCCAAACCAAAACTAAAATCACCAAAGTTCATTCTTTTAAGTCACTGATTGGAGTGATCACACCCTAAAGCCTCAATAAAACAAAACCTGGGATTTCAGCCACAAAAGGCATCTTGTAAATCTGTATCTTATCACTCCAAAACTCACAAAAAAACAAGATTGTCTCCCCGAGCTAGAATAAATACAAATATCAATTTTTACACACCATTAAGGTTTGCTATTTAAAAAATGTTATCCATCAATACTGTTTTGAGTATAAAAGTACTTCTCCTCCTAGGTAGAAATGAACATGAACACACACGAACACACACGGGGGTGGGGGGGTGGGGGGGCACAGGCACAGGATTTGAGGAGGAACTAAAAATATGTTGGCTAGTGGGTTTTGTTTTTTTAACTACTCAGAATAAAGGAAATGAGCTTTTTGCAAGCTGTGGGAAAATGAAATTTAATAAGCTTGCCTAGGGCATAGTTCACTGTATCAAAAGCCACACTCTATACGATAATGTGTAAAAACCCTATCCAGTTATTCTATACAAATACTGATCCCTTCTACATCTTCAGTTAGCTGTTTATCTCCATATTTCCTAAAAAAAAGAAAGCTACATATAAGTTCTGTATTACGTTGCTAATCAGTATGCAAAGCTGTCTTTGCATCAAGTGGTATAAACTTCATTGTTTTAAACAATAACCATTCCTTTTTTTTTCCTTGTAGAGTTCTGAAACTTGTATTCATTTCTCTGAAATGTAAGCCTGATAAATAACTGATAAGCTATACTTTTTATAAGTGTGTAATAGTATCTTTATTGGTCCTGATGTATAAAGCAAGCATTTCTCCATTTGAATGCCTCTATCTGCGTCACGGTCTTCTTAGCTTTAATACCACAAGCAAGGCAAAGTTCTTAAAAACTATCAACAAAAGTCGGTTTGGGAAGGCGAGAGCCGAGGAGTAAATATGAGCAAAATGAGATGGGGTGTGTGTGTGTGTGTGTGTGTGTGTGTGTGAAATATAATAAAACCTATTAATCTGTAAGTCAACTAAAAATGTAATTTTTAACAAGATGTAGTAAGTAGCAAATGATGACTAAAAGCCTATGCAATTAATGTTTTGGATCAGAGAAACACATAAATGCTGAGTAAGGTTGACTGTTCCTACTCACCCTTGCCCCCCACCAGTGCGCTGTGGGGGAGGACCTTGCACTTCACAGTGAAGAAGCAAGTCAAGCCCTTTAACTAAATCTCAAGACACAAAAAGCTACCTTGTTTCCCCACACCCGAAGTTGAACCTTCTGAAGACGAACACTTCACAGCCCTTCCTAAACTGAAATAATAGCATTTATGGCCTAAATCACTGAAAATGAATCAGTCAGGTAAAGAGAAGCCAATGCTCAAGGAGCAGCGTCTGCAAAGAAGCTCCCATTAAATAAAAATACTTTAAAGTACATCACAACCATAAATCAAATCCAAAATTGCACTTTGATGCCTGCAGCAGTGTGCAATCTGCATTCAAATGAGATAATCCATACATCACATTATTGTGAAATTAAGATAAACGAAACCTACCGAGGGCAAAAATTGTTGTAAGATTCTAGTGTTCTCACGTAAACACGTAGCATGCTATCATCAACTACGCGGCAACCTGCTAAATAGATTTTACTTTCCAAACAAGTTATATGCTCCACCATTCCGCCGCAGTTTATAGAAGTCTTGTCAACAAAAGTCGGCGGGGGAGAAGGGTTTAGGAACAATTCAAACGGCAAAGGTTTAAATAAATAAAAAGTGGAATCTCTAATTGACTTGGAGATTTTTTTTATCTTGATTATATGACCCCCAATTTACTAAAATCCCTCAATTCACGCTTTTATTAAAATACATCGGGTTCTATCCCACGTTCCAGAGTTCCCAGAGAAATTACCAGCTTGGAAAAGGTGACTGTAAATCTTTTTTTCCTTTTAGTCACAGACCCCATTTAAACTGAGCGGTTGAAAGCGCCCGGAAATCTACACTTACACAATATCTGACATCGCCCGAGGCGAATTCACGAAGTTTCTTGGGGGTGGGGAACGAAGAGGAAGCGTCTCTGGTGATAAAAGTGCAGTCGCTCGGTATTTAGAAGTGGTTAACGTATCTCACTGCCCAAGTCAGGAGACCCCGCCGGTCCGGAAGCCCGTGCGGGACCGCGGTTCGAGGCCCGGTCGCCGCCCAGACGGCTGTCGCCGCTCACCCGGGCCCGCCGCCGGGGGAAGCTCCGCCGCGCGCCCCACCCCACCGGTAAACAGCAACTCCCCGAGCGCTGCGGCCGCCTCAGCCTCCGCCCCCGCCAGCGCCGCGCACCATTTTCTGAGAGGAAGTGTGGGGAGTTCGGCCCGGCACCCCAGCCCTGGCTCCTCTCCGCTTCCCGAATGCGCCCCGAGGCTGCGAGGGGCGGACGTGACGGGGGCGCCGCGCGCAGGAAGCGGAGACCGCAGCGGACCGACCCCCGCGCTCGCAAGGTCCCTGCCGTCGGGACCGCTCCGCTAGCCGGCGTCGCGCCCTGCTCCCCGGCCTCGGCGGGACGCGACGCCGAGAGGAAACGAGGCCAGCGCAGCCCCCGAGCGGCCACCCGGCACTTACCCATCCATGGCCCAGATGGAGGAGCGCGTTGTGCGGGGATTGACGGGCTCACCGCGGGCAGAGGAAGCGGGCGGCGGCTCCGGGGACCTGCGAGCGGAGCCGCTCCGCAGCTCCGGCCGGTCAGAGGTGGAAGGAAGAGTGGGAAACAGGGGCGGGGACCGGGCACGCTCTCGCCAGCGCCGCGCCCCCGCCCTCCCCGCCCGTGAGCGCGTTCCCGCCTCGCCTGGCCCCGCCCCCTCAGCGTCGACGCCCTCCCGGGGCTCGGCTGGACTCCAGGGCGCCCTCTTCCCGCCTTCGCCTCTTCGCCCCGCCCCCCCGCCCGTGCCCCGGCGCGCGTGCGCGCCCCCCGCCCCCAGCGTCGCGCCTGCGTTCGCGGGAACGCGCGCCTTGTGCTTCCCGCTTCGCGACTCGCCCTCCTGCGAGCCCGCGGGCCTTCCGGCTTCCCGGACTCAGGCTCAGGCCCTTGAATGTTGCTGACTAGAAGTCTCGGGACCCCAGGGGACTTTTGAAGTGGAGCAGAATTGCTACTGGCGGGCGACACTGCTGGCGCGCGGCAGGGGACCCGCGCGACGTCCGTGGGGCAGGGGTGGACATAGGTCTTTCCAGACCGGAGAGCAGCGACGGTAGCCCGTCCGTCAGGCCCTGGCCAACCTCTGAGACCTGCACTGGCCGGATAGGTGTGGTTGGGAAAGAAATTAAGTAGATGAGACTGCCCTGGACTGAAGTCCATCTTCATTTTTACACGATTTTAATCTGAGTGCTTTTCTACCGAACAGTCTAATACTAAAAGAAACTTTCATTGCACAGCTATTTAATGGCCATCATAATGCCAGTATTTTATAAGTTTATTCATCCCTCTGGGGAGCAGGGAAGGGGAGCGTTATAGGAAAGGATTAATGTTTTTCCAGGTGAAAATACACAAGTGATCTCCGAAATTTCACAGCCAGAAAATTTTTTGTTTGCACCAAAGCCCTTTCCCCTGGTATGAGCAAAACCAAGTTATATTTAGTATATATAATGCGTATAACTAGTGAGAACACGCTTTTCCCCTCTTTTATAGCACATCTACTTCTGAACGGAGTGCTTTTTCAATTCACAGATCATTGAAATTTGAGCCATTTAAGCCATGTCTTCAAAGTCTGAAATGAAAGAGGGAGCCTGCCCACGTCAGTTCAAAAGAAGTAACAACTTCAATCTAGCTTTCCTGATTACCTACTTTAAAATAAGTAGACACTTCTTTTAAAAAAAAAAAAAAGTATAACCAGTTTGTAACTCAGGAAGGTCATTTTTAAAGAAATTTCAGTTCCCCTTTTCAAGATGTCAAAAACATTTTGTATGTTAATTTTTTTTAAGATTTTATTTAAATTATGCATATGAATACACTGTAGCTGTCTTCAGACACACCAGAAGAGGGCATCAGATCCCATTACAGATGGTTGGGAACCACCATGTGGTTGCTGGGAATTGAACTCAGGACCTCTAGAAGAGCAGTCAGTGCTCTTAACCACTGAGCCATCTCTCCAGCCCCTTGTATGTTAAGTCTAAACATTATGTTTGGAAACATTTCCACCCTACATTGCTACATGGAATTTTAAAATAGCAACTTGGTGTAGAGGCACATAACTATAATCCCTACCCGAGTTTAAAGCCACCTTGAGCTACATGGCATGTTCCAGGCCATCCTGGGTCACAGAAAAATATAATAATAAAATGTCAGAGAAAAGCAGCTGAGCAAGTGGTGATAGCACATGACTTTAATCCCAGCACTCACTCAGGAGAAGAGGAGAAAAGGAGAGGGGGAGAGAAGAAGAAGAGAGAAAGGGAGGGAGAGAGAAGCAGCCGATGAAGTGTTTCTATTGCTGTATTTGAGGTATATTTTGTAATAAGTTTCTCTTTTTTGTTTGCTTGTTTTGTGTTTGGTTTTGGTTGGTTGGTTGGTTGGTTGGTTGGTTTTTCAAGACAGGGTTGAGATCTCTGTGTACCCCTGGCTGTTCTGAAACTCACTCTGTAGACCAGACTGGCCTCGAACTTGGACATATGCCTGCCTACTTTAACTATTTTTAATTACAATATTTTAATTGACTTCATCTTAATACTCCATAGTACTTCATAATTTAATGTGCCATATTTTATTTAAGTTTTTTCCAAAATAGTGGACGCTTAAATTATTTGCAGCTATTCAAAACAATTAGCAATCCCATACAAAACATCACATAGCTATGACCACATATGATTACCTCTGAGGAATAGAAAATTATAAATAGAATTCCAGAACAAAGGGTATAAGCACATCAAGTTTGATAAATACCATGAAGGTAATTCTGAAAACAATATGATAATTTACAAGGTTTTTTAAAGGAAGACAGAAAACAGCATGTCTCTCTTAACCCTGAACCTTTAAGTAAATAACAGTTGTCACTAGTTTTGGATTTTTTTTTTTTTTTTTTGAGACAAGGTTTCTCTGTGTAACAGCCCTAACTGTCCTACAACTCACCTTGTTACCTAGGCTGGCCTTGAACTCACAGAGATCCCAAGTACTGGAATTAAAAGTGTGCACCACCATGCCCAGCAATTTTTTAAAATTAAGTATATTAAATGTGTTAGTATGTGCATATGTGAATGGAGTGCCTGTGGAGAGGCCAAAAGAAGACATCAGATTCCCTACAGCTAAAGTTACAGGCCACCTGACTTGGGTCCTGAGAACCAAACTAGGGTCGTCTACAAGAGCAGTAAGTGTTGATAACTACTAGGCTATCTCTCCAGCCCCAGTTGTCACTCTTTAAAACAAATGAAGTCTACCTGAGACTCATTATCTATACCAAGTCACTCTAAAAAGTCTATCATTCAAAGACTATGTCCCTGAATAAAATTAGCAAAACTGTACTTTATTTCTTAAACAAGCCCAGCTTTATAACAGAGGCCTAGATAACTGAAAACAGTTTATAAACAGAAGACAAGGTGAAACGCTCACTTTTCCATGTCCCTTTGTCCTAAATTCAAAGACTTCATGGTATGTCCTCTGAGAGCTTGCCTGTTACTTTGATTCAAAACGCTAGACAGGAGCTGGGGGATGACTCATTTGGAGAGACGACTGCTGTGCACTCATGATGGCCTCATCGAGCCAAATCCTGGTGCTCCAGGCTCAGTCAGAAACCTTGTCTCAAAAACAGAGTGGGTGGGGGTGCAGAGGGGACAGTGGTTAAGAGCACTTGCTGCTCTGGAGGACAGTGCCTAGCCCCAACACAGTGGTTCATAACCATCACTAATTCCAGTTCTAGGGTATTCGGTGCCCTCTTCTGACCTCTGAGGGCACCAGGCACACACATGGTGCACATACATACATGCAGATAAAGCATTCATCAAATAAATAAACC